AAACACACAGTCAATCAATCAATCAATCAATCAATCAATCAATCAATTCGATTGATAAATTGATTGGTTGATTGACCGATTTTTCGTTTTTCATTTTCAAAAATCCGTTGGGTATCGGCCTGTTCTCAATCAATCAATCAATCAATCAATCAATCAATCAATCAATCAACCAATCAATCAATCAACCAATCGATTGATTGATTGTTTGATTGGGAAAAAAGAAGAAAAAGGCAGCTCGGAGGAAAGGCCAGAAGGACGACAGGGAGGAGGAGGCGGAGGAGAGGAGGAGGAAGAGGAGGTGCGGGAGGAGTGGGAGAAGGAGCGGGAGGAGCGGGAGAAGGAGCGGGCGGAGCAGGGGCAGAAGGAGCGGGAGGAGGAGGAGGAGGAGCGGGAGGAGTGGCAGGAGAAGGAGCGGCAAGAAACAGGGAGGCGGAGTTAACGAACGCATGTAGGAATGGGAGGAGCAGCAGGAGGGGGAGCGGGAGAAGGAAAGGGAGGAGGAGCGAGAGGAGCTGGAGAAGGACCTGGAGGAGCGGGAGGAGGATGAAGTTGTGGTGGAGGAGCAACGGGAGGTGAATCTCTCTCGCTCTCTCTCTCACACACACACATATACACACACACACACACACCCAGTCCATCAATTAATCAATCAATCAATCAATCAATCAATCAATCAATCAATCAATCAATTAATCGACCAATCAATCAATCAATCAATCAATCAATCAATTCGATTGATAAATTGACTGATTGATTGAGTGATTTTTCGTTTTCTGTTTGGAAAAATCGGGTGGGTATCGGCCTGTTCTCGTGTTTTGTTTTTGTTTTCAATCAATCAATCAATCAATCAACCAATCGATTAATTAATTGATCGATTGATTGTGAGGAGGTGGACAGAAACCGACTCTCTCTCTCTCACACACACACACACATACACAGCAGCAGCAGGAGGTCAGTCTCTCTCTCTCTCTCTGTGTGGCTAGCCACGTGGTGGCCCTTTTTTCTTTTTTTTTCGTAGGAGGATCTTTGTCACGTCACGGGAGGACGACCGGACTTTGGTGATCCCTTTGCTGATTCCCCACCCCCACCTGTCCCATCAGACATCCATGCCCTCCTTGATCGATTTCTGGTCGAGCCACGTGGAGTCCCCACGCGACCGGTTTGACACACCATCGAGTTGGTCGAGGGTGCTGTTCCTCCAAAGGGGTGCGTGTACCGTATGGGACCCGGCGAGTTGGAGGAACTCCGGCGGCAGATCGATGAGATGATTGACAAAGGTTGGATCAAACCAAGCGAATCTAAATTTGGTGGTCCTGTGTTGTTTGTGCCAAAGAAAGGAGGCAAACTCCGCATGTGTATTGACTACCGCGGTTTAAACCGCATCACAAGAAAGAATGCTTACCCATTGCCTCGTATAGATGACTTGCTTGATGCTGCAGGCGGGTGCAAGGTCTTCTCCAAGATCGACCTCAAGTTTGGTTACCACCAGATTGAAGTCGATCCTGCGGACCAGCACAAGACCGCGTTCAAAACGCGCGACGGGCTCTATGAGTTTCCCGCAATGCCCTTCGGTCTTACGAACGCACCAGCCACGTTCCAAAGTCTCATGGACAATGTCCTCCGCGAACAGATTGGCCGGTTCGTGGTAGTGTACCTGGACGATATCTTGATTTTCAGCAAGTCCATGGAGGAACACCTCAAGCATCTTGACGAGGTACTTGTTGTCCTCAAGAAAACGCAACTCCATCTCAACTTGGAGAAATCTGAGTTTGGGAAGGATAGCGTCATCTACCTTGGGCGCCGGCTGTCTGCTGTAGGCCTAGAGCCTGAGGCAACCAAGATTGAGGTCATACGGGATTGGCCTCAGTCTCTGAACATTGGAGAATTGCGTTCTTTTCTTGGACTCGCGTCGTACTATCGGAAGTTTGTACCCCGTTTCTCCATTATTGCTCGTCCATTGTCGCGA